TGGACCCAAAGGAAGTGAGTTATTTGGATGGTCTATACTATTATTATTATTATTACATATTACTGTTTGTCGTGAACTTCATTGCACGATTTTGCAAACAACATATCGTTATGTCGTTTCAGCTAACCTTGATGACTGTGGTGAACTTGATGTGCGAGATTATTCAGTAGTAAAATGGGATCAAAGTTGATTCCAGATGGGGTTTAGGGCGTGCGACCAAACACATTGAGCCTTTGCCCACAACATTTTCTAAAATCGCTTGTTAGAAACCAATAACTGGGCTCTATCTACCTTTAGATGAATCAATGCACTTGAAATCAGTCGAGTCTCGGCTTCCTTATGCCTTATGCTAACCACTCCTTTTCATTGGAACTTCAGGCAGAACGTCGCCTTAGCTTCAGGCTTGAGATTGAGCTTAGACTGTGGTTTTGGTACGAATCAACCGAACGGTGCAGACAATCGAAGTGTCGTGGATAGTATCATAGTGACGATGATATCCAAATGAATTTCAGCGGCATATGAAGGTGGTGTGTGGCGAGTACGGGTGGATTTGCCCGAGAAATATCCGTTTAAGTCGCCGTCGATCGGCTTCATAAATCGTATCTATCATCCGAATATCGACGAAGCGTCCGGTACAGTGTGTTTGGATGTGATAAATCAAGCATGGTCTGCGCTATATGATCTCGCGAATATTTTCGAATCTTTTTTACCGCAATTATTAACCTACCCGAATCCGACAGATCCTTTGAACGGTGATGCGGCGGCGCTTTATCTGCACAAACCTGAGGAATTCAAACGAAAATGCAGAGGTTCGTTGTCTTTGATCATTATTTGTTATCGCCAGTTTTGATCATTGTTTTTGATCGATGTCACAGCCGATGTTGGTTGGGTTGTGTGAATTTGGTTGTTATCGTGATTGTTGTTACGAATACGATTTCGAATTCAAATGGTTTGATATAATCAGTATTTGTGTTGAACAAATTGATCATACGAACAATACATGAACACTTCATAAACTTCTAATATTCCTAACTTTGACTTCTCGAACTGGACACACACACACATTGGAATAATTCTATCTCTATGTGCAACTTTAAAATGCTTTGATATGTTTTGAGAGTACGTTGAGAAATATGCAAGCGAAGAGGCACTGAGTAAATTCTGCGGAACAGATCCTCTGAACGGAAGGCATTTCCCGACAGCCACGATTGGCCAGATAAACGGTGCTGACGATTCTGATTCCACTATTTCTGACTTTTCTGAGGGTTTGTTCATTCAATTGCTTTATTTTAATACTCCTCACATTCATATCATAGAATATATGTATGTATATGAATGGTGAGGTTTCTCAGTTGTTATAATATGTATTCAATAACTTTCGCACATC